TATATATATATATATATATATATCCCCCAACTGCAGGTTAACTGATAAGTGCAATGATTAGTTAGTAAAACTGATGTTGGAGTTTTGATCGGTGGTAATGGCATTGCGCATATCCTCTTGGTCAGCTGAAATGCGGAGTAGGTTCACATTTCAGCATTGATTTATATCAATTTCAGTAAGACTTTTCCACTAACGGCCGGTTTCCGCTTTCTCGGGCACATCGGGTAAGCCCAAAAATATTCAGATAATCTGATTGGACAGTTTTCGGCCCAATGAGGAACAAGTTCTGTCAAGAAAATTCACACCGATATGTCGAACATCACATCAAGAGTGAAACAAGGATAATTCTTGTGCAGCATATTCAGTTCATGAATGTTGCACATGACAGTGTCATCTAACATACTGTTTGGACTCCTCTTAGCAGCAAATCAATTGGCAAATGAGTGCATTTTCCCGAGTTTTTCCTTACCCGCTTTTTGGGTAGCCTGGGATGTTTTCATCCACTTTCATCATGTGTTTGTGTTTTGATGCGCGCTGTTATAATGACGGTCCCCATCTTCCATGGAAAAAGCTTTGCAAAGATAATAAAAGGTCCTCAATTATCACACTTTGGCTAGTAAGTTTGCAATTTTTCCGAATGTTGAGGATTTTACCGTTACGCCCAACGAACACAATCATCGTGTTCTTCATTTCAATTTACGTCCAGTGCAGAGTTCTATCCATATTTTAGTAGTATAACGCTTCGTTTGAGTTAACTAAGGTAAAACAGATGCATTACAGCCACATGTGGTGGGCCAAAAAGGCATCGGTGTTTAGCCGCATGTGGTGGATCAAAAATGTCAACGAACGATCACTCTGGACTGCGGAAAGAGAAATCTCTTACGTAGATCATGAAACTGGAGTATTAGGTGATATTATCCTTAGCTTTCTTCTGAATAATACTTGAGGAGTGAGGACTTTTGACAACCATAACCTCATGGGGTGTACTCCACATCACATTTATAGGAGCATTTTGTCCAAGGAGCAGCCCACGAAAGCATTCTCGCAATTAGATATTTTCGCTTCCCTAACCAGCGAACTCGAAATAAATTCTGACCAACACAATCGCAACAGAATATCGGATGACGTTTTGATAAATTATCCTGTGAAGTTCAACCTATTCCACCTAATTAATACCATGCACTTCAAGGGTGCTGTGCATGCGCCTAAATAGGGCTTTTAAAATGCGTTCTGAGCCTCGTTGCCCCTTCAAATATTCGCCACCTACCTCTAAATTCCTTTGAAAGCTGACCAAGTTTGTGCTGAAAATCCATAGTCTTTTTCGTGTGCCACCACTCACAGCGTACCAAATAAAAGATTGCCGGTAATCTAGACTTTGGCTATGGAGCCATCAAGTTAAAGTTGAACCGTCTTGGTGTTCGAGGCCATTTAAAATGAGAAACATGTTTGGTCATTCGTGATTTACCATTGGATGTGTACTGGCACAGTCTTGTCTTGAACGGGAACCTGACACTCTTGTTTTCCCACTCACTTGTGGTGGTAATGTCTAGCCAAATATCATTCCTACCCACATTTAGTGCCATCGAACTGATCTACACGTGGCACTAGAGTCTGCTTCTAAAGTGAGCTGTTAGGCCTTATATAGGTATACCCGTTGGATTGAAACCTGTTCAAAGTTTCCCATTTTGTAGTTGCTGTACGGATGAAACTTTATGTGCCTGTATATCTAAAAAAATTCACTGGTATACATGTGAGATACCCTCACGGATAGCATATGACCCACAATTAACTAACTGGAAACAAGTAATGCACACCACAAAACTGAGTGGATTAGCCTGGAGAACCAATCGTAGTTCAATAAGTAGCTACTTTTCATCGGACGATTGCCTCATGGAGGTGATAATGAGTGAACAAAGTGCGAAAAACCTGTACCCGTAGTTTAAACAACACTATTTTAGACGAATCACGCGCTTTTGAGAGCAGGCGATTCATCAAATACATAAGGTAAAAAAAACTGATAAAGTTGTTGTTCAAAGTTGTTGAGCCGAGTAGGAGACACAGGTTAGTAGCAGCTCCTTTCTGCGCTTCAAAGCAAGGTGTAGGCTGAGGATGAGAATGCACAAGGAATGGTGGTTGTGCCAAAACATAGTTTGCCGCCGGAAACTGGGAAACAGAAGATATGAAGAATCACACCTCCAATGTCCTAATGTGAGCCATATCTTTCGGAAGGGAGAGCGTGGCATAGGCCCCCGTCAGCACTTGGTTACCTCGTATTCCTAGGAACCGAAAACGGAAGTGTTTCGAAATTATTGCGAATCAGGAATGTCGCCTACCTCGTGATTGGTGGATACTGTTGGAGGGAATCCA